AACATGACCTGTACTCTATACACAGACAAGGTCCAGACAGCCCCACACTTGTGGCCAGTTCAAAGACTTGACTCTGGAGTTTCAGGAAGCAAAGGTCTTCTGGGAATTACTAAAAAACCGTAGCCATTGTAACTTCTTGAGGAATGATTCAGATGGTGGCCCCTACCTTATGAGATGAAAAGTTAAAGAGAAAAAATATAACTCAGAAGGGAGATGTTAAACTACACTGTAACTGTGACCAGAAACTGAAATGATAGAGACCCAGACCTAAAGGTGAACAACATCTCTACCCACAATAACAAACATCAAAGTCTTTTCTCATCTTTATCCCTAAGACCCACCACATTGTAGAAACTCTCGTAATATTTTTTTTCTCAGTCTAGGTAAGTGCTTTAACTCCCTAACCCCTGTGCTATACGAAGTCTTACATTTCTCTGCCACAGGACGTGTTTTAATGAGGGTTACTATTGCTTCGATGAAACACCATGGCCAAAAGCAACTTGGGGGTGGGAGGAAGGGTTTATTTCATGACACAGCCATATAACCTCTAAGTCATATCACATTCATCCTCCAAGACAGCCAGGGCAGGAATGGAAGCAGGGCAGGGACCTGGGTGCAGGAGCTGATGCAGAAGCCATGAGGGAGTGCTGCTTGTTTCTCATGGCTTGCTGAGGGGTGGCACTGCCCACAGTGCACTGGGCCCTCCCACATCAATCATCAACCGAGAAAACGCAGTCCAGCCTTGCCCAAAGGCCAGCCTAGTGGGGGCACTTTCTTAATGAGGTTCCTTCCTCCAAAATGACTCTAGCTTTTGCCAAGTTGGTATACAACTAGCAAGGACAGTACTTGAAAGTTATTCCAAGTTGTAGGCAAAATATCCTTTTGTAGATATAAAGTGGCCTCTGCCTTATTTGAAAGATGCAGATGATCCTGACTTCAACTCAATATCCACAGCTGTCATATTATAGGAATTATTATTACTAATATTTCTTTCCTTCTTGAACTGTTTCAATAGTCATGTTAATACTACAAGTGATGTGATATTATAATAATAGTCTACATTATTAGCCAAATACTGGTCATAGTGTCAGGAACCAGGCAGAAAGCAAATTTTACAGCAGACAGTCAAATGATTAAAAGAACAAAAGCTGGTTATACAGGTCCGAGAAGGTTAAGAAGAGCAAGCAAGAGCCACAGCGCTGCTTAAAGGTCTAAAATGGCGAAGGAGAGATCCAGTGTTCCCGATAACAGCACCTACAAAGAGGATGCAATGGTTATTCTTAGTTGTCAACTGGACTACATTTGGAATTAACTAAAGCCCAAAGGACCGGGCCCACCTGTGATGGATTTTCTCAAAGCATTTGAAGTGGGAAGACCCACTTCTGATCTGCATCGTTGAGACTGGATGGCCCGCCATCTAATCTGGACCACCCCTTCTGGTGTCAGACTATATAAAGGACATGGAAGAAGGAAGATTTTTCTCTTTCCTTGCTTGCTGCTGCTCTTGCAAACAAGTCCGTTCCTTCGCTGGCATTGGAGCCTACTTTTTTGGGATTTCGGTGTCTACTGAAGACCAGCTAAGACATTCAGACTCATGCACTGAACAACTACTGGATTCTTGGACCTTCTGTTGGTAGGTAGGCAGCCACTGCTGAACTGTAAGGCATTCTAATAGATCCCACATGTCTTCACTCTATAAGCTCTATTCCCCTAGGGAACTCTGATTAATACAGAGGATTGATACAAAGAGTTGAAATCAGAAAGCAATGCCATTTTACAGCTAAAGTGTCCAGGTGGATGTGGCTCTGCCCTGCAGTCTCTTGAAAGTGCCCAGCAATGGACAAACCCAAGCAGAAACCTGGCACCGAGGGAGCCAAGGGATTGGTTCCCACGGGAGCCCACCTCCCAGGAACAGAGACGGGCAGATACTGGATTGAAATCATTCCATCCTGGAGGGGAGGCTATAAGACTCAGAAAGTAAACAACTCAGAAGCCTCTGACGCCAGATTCTCAAGTGTGGCACGATTAATAAAAACCCAGAGACAGATATTGGGGTTTAATCTAAAGGCCAGAAAAGCAAAGCAGCCAGACATTGGCTCTTACCTCTACCTCAGTCTGAAATGGAGATCCTGACTCAAAGAATCCTCAGAATGAGACTGAGACGGAGAGCTGTCTCCTCCCATCTTATATTCCTCTCTAGTGCTGGGATTAAAGGCGTACACCACTGCTGCCTGGCTTCTATGGCAAACTAGTGAGTGTGGCTACTGGAATAAAAGGTCTGGGTCACCACTGCCTGGTCTTTATGGCTGATCAGTGGGGCTGTTTTACTCTCTGATCGTCAGGCAAGCTCTAT